TTGAGGGATTCATGCACACTCTCGAGTGTGTCAGAACTCAAACTGAGGAAATGGTAACCCTTTCTAAAAAGAAACAAAAGTCAAGTTTTTCTGAAACCGGTTTTTTAAGTAAAAAAAGAGAGTGCAATACGTGCAATCGTCCGAGCTCAAGTAAGTGTTTCCCAAAATTTAACCATGCTTATGAATTGCAACTAGTATGTTAATATGTGAAATGCATGCTAGAATATGGCTAAGGATGCCTTCATGAGTTATGAGAATTGCCTGATTTGTGTGATGCCTTGTAGCCTAGGAGAATTCAATGCTATGAATACAATGCTTGGAATTAATGTTGACTCTATTATTTGCTAAGTGTATGCTTTCAAAGTTGTATATGTTTAGGATTGCATAGCCCTAGAATGATGGATTCTGCCTCATTTCTTGTTCCTTGTTTGGTTGTGGTCTTAGGGAAGAAACTTTATTTGACAGTCTATGTGATTCTATTTATGTATAACTTGCATGCATAAGGCAATCTGCGGTGTTGATTGAGATCTGTCTCACGTCGTGAGATCTGTCTGAATGACATTCTGATGAGTAAAATCCTTAATCCATTAAGCCACTAATCCATATTCTCTAGAAGGCTTCTTAACACCCCAAAGACCATACAAATCGATGTTTTAAGGTCTTGCAAGTCCAATGCAAGACTTGAGCTCAAATTAGGGCATTCATGAAGAAAAAGGAGGTCAAAACTCAAGCATGAGTTCAAACATTACCCAAACCTCAGATCCACCACATATAAACACTAAGGGACTCTAAGGACCCATAAAGTTGCTAACTTTATGGAGTCCCAACACTCTAACTCATCTAACCATGGATAATCATGCATAAAACCTTAGATCTAGCAACAAGGAATCATAAAGCTTGAATCTTGGTTACTCACAATGGTCAAGAGATGTTGCTAGAAGATGAAAATGAAGCTTCCAAGCTAGATCTATGCATCAAAGGTGATCCCTTTTTCTTAAAGCCACCAAAATACCACCAAAAGCTCAAAAATCACAATGAGAAGCTAGGGTTAGGGTCTTTCTATGTTTAAGAACGAAGGAGGCTGTAAATGAACCCTAAACTGAAGTTTATGGGGTTTAAATATGAAGGAAACCCTAAAAGATCTTGGGATTAGGCTGCAACGCATCTCATGTCGTAAGCACTGTGTCTCACGTTGTGAGCTCGGATAAATTACCATTTTTCAATTAATCACTTGTCACGTCGTGACCTATCTATGGTAACTTCGTGACACCTGATTTTACCAAAAAACCATGCCTTTGACTCCTTTAATCCCTAAACCGATCCATTCTGGAAACTAGGAGTTACAATTTTCCCCCACTTAAATTATATTCCTTCCTCGAAATCGGTTCTCGCTTCCACTCTCGAAGTAACCCCTTATGGGTCTTTCAAACTCGACTCCTTCCAAGAGGTTTGAGACCACTTTAATGCTCGCGCCTACAACCATCAACAACCAAGGTTCCAAAACCAGACTCATAAGCCAATTTGAGTAGAGACTCAAACGGTCTGAATCACAACTATCACATCATCCCTTGATCAGCCGACCACCTCCCAATACCTCTGCAGACGTAAACAAGAATCAAGCGACCTGAAGAAAACATTACTCCTCATAACATCCTTAATTCGCAAGAGAAGAATCTGCTTCTTAGTCCATGGCCTGCTGACTCTGAAATCACATCCAACCTTCAGGTAGACAGATCCACCCCAATTGTCACCTAAGCTAACCAAGACTTGCATGCCTGATCCAACCAAAATCTCTTGACCTTGCACCGCTCATCGAGTATCTGAAATAGGAACTACATCATACACCATAGCTGCCAACCCCACACACTGACAGTGGTAACCAAGCAATCTATAATGACATCATCCAAGAGAAGTCTGATCATGCATAATAGAAATCAGTTATCATTAGTAAAATCACGTATGTGAGCATAACAGAGACAGTAAAGATGTATCAATTTGGAGCCAAAATTTTGAATTAGCATAATAGAGCTCACTAACGATTGACTTGATACAGTGGAGAAGACTATCACGTGTCCCAAATTTTTGAAAATGTGGATTCTATGGAAGACATAACCACATTTACAATGGATGTGGAAATAGTGGAGATAAGAGATTTAGGTAAATAATATGTAGACCTGGAAGAAAAGGTTCAGTGGTGGATGATGTTTACGGCGATTCAAGGTGGTTTCGATGGAGGATCTTGGAGAAGTTATAATCTTTTTTCAATGATTAACCATTTAAGAAAAAAGATGCAAAATCAAATATATATATATATATATATATATATATATATATATATATGATCGTTTCAGATAAGTTAACTTTTATTTTGACGTTGGAAGGTGTAGTCATAAAGACTTGTATTGGAACATTTTTGAAACTTAAAAATCATCTATGCAAGAAACTACTGAAGGACTATTTGTGACAATCTTTGAAATTTTGTCGACAGCAATAAGTGCCACGTGTTACCCACTCTTTGACGCGCGACACATGGATCCTTCCCCCCTCCCCCTCTGTATAAATATCTTATGGTATCTCCTTCCAAGTTAGAGCAAAATCAAATTCCTCTTGCAAAACCATCCGACTTTCTACTTTTTGAAATTGTGATTGACGATCGGTATGGCCAGTTTGATGGACAAGGCGAAGCAATTCGTTTCGGATGCGGCGGCGAGCATCGAGAAGCCGAAGGCGAGTGTGACGGATGTCGATTTGAAAGATGTTGGTGTCAGTTGTGTGACCTATCTGGCTAAGATCAACGTTTCAAATCCTTACAGCGTATCTATTCCAATCGGCGAGATCCGTTACGTTCTTAAAAGTTCCGGCAGGTTCGTTTGCTATCATTTTGTCTATTTACCTTTCCACAGAGTAAATGTAGGTTGTAGCTATGTAAGTCCTCGATTATCAAATCGAAATTTTACTGAAAATAACAACAATTAATCGTATCCGCCAAGTACTTGTTAGACTCTGGAGAGTTTCGGCAGCTTCATTTGCTAGTCGTTATCAGTTTCGATCTCCTTTCTCACAAATTTTTTACAGAGTACATGTAGCCATGGATATTATGATTTTTGGTAGAAAACTTAAAACATTAGTTCGGATAAGGAAGACACTCGAAAAACAAATATATATAATTAATATTTATGAATGATGATTAGTGATTTCGGTTTTGGTTTTGGATTTTGATCAGTGAGATTGCGAGTGGAACAGTCCCTGACCCAGGTTCACTGAAAGGGGATAGCGAGACGATGTTAAACGTGGATATAAAAGTGGCACACAGTGTGTTGGTTAGCTTGGTGAAGGACATTGGAAGAGATTGGGATATCGACTATGACCTAAAAGTCACACTCGTTGTTGATCTCCCTCTCATCGGTAACATCAGCATACCAGTCACTAGTGCCGGTGAGATCAAGCTCCCTTCCCTCACCGACTTCTTTACTACGTGAATAGCTGTAGCTCTACAATATGATAAATAAGATCAATCTTGTACGTGTTCACATACTTTTCAACTATCTTATGTATAAGTTTTTATTTTAATTCCAAGGATCATTTCATAATTCATACTACCAACTTATACGCTTTCACCCTTTAGGTCTAAGTAATCGGCAACTTTACACATCATTCAAAGATTTTTTTCAACTTTCATTTATTAAATTATTAATTAGTATTCAATTACTTCAACTTATATCTTATGGAAAAGAAGCAAAAGTAAAGTGTCTTCATATTGCTTATATCTCTCACACCTTCACTTCAATCTCAAACCTTCACTCCAATGAACCAATATAAGAACTTATACTCTATGAATAATCTTCAATTTTTTTTATTGTCAAATATGAGTTTAAAAAGAAAAAAAAAATACTTATATGCCATGAATAAGAAGACAAAATTGTCTTCATTTTTTGTTTTTTTGTCAAATATGAGTTTAAAAAGGAAAAAATAAAGGTAGGTTTTTGTTTGAAAAAAAAAATAAATTAGTAAAAGATTAACGTTAACCTACCAAAATGGTCGGAATGAGAAAAATAAAAATAAAAATTGCAAGGAATTTTTTTAAAATAAATTTAAACATAAACAAAACAAAATTGTAAATCATTTTATTTTATATTATAACACGAGATATAATTATAAAAAGACAAAATGTCAAAAATGGTCCGTACTATTTACAAAAATATTATAGATGGTCCTTAAGTTTGTAAACCCTTGTATTACACCGTTTGTTTTTCTATTAAATCTTATATGAATAGACATTTTTGCCTATCATTTATGTGTTTTCTCAAAACCAAAATTTCTTTCTCTCACTCTCGCCTAACCCCTCTTCACTTAACCTTCTTTATCCCTTGCTTTCTCCATGGCAATGTTAATAACAACCAAGTTCAGATGAAGCGGCAACCAAATGGTCTATAGATGACATCATCCAAGAGAAGTCCAATGCATGTGACCATAACGGGGAAACAAAAGGTTATGGTATCAATTTGAAGCTTTTTATTTACAAATTGGAGTTGAATCTTACAGTTGCAAATTTGAAATAGTTAGAAAGTTGAAGTTTTTTTTTACATGAAGTTAAAGATATTTAAAATACCGTAAAAGAGGATTTCAGTCTAGCGTTCTTGTTCGACACATTGTTCACGTTTCTTTTTAGTTTATTAGAGTTTTAGTTAACATAAGGGGGATGTGTGTGTATTTTCGTGGACAAAAAGAGAAAAGAAAGCAAAGGTTATCACATTTGTGTTTTTATTGATTTGCAATGTGTGTATATGCAAATTTTCTAATTGCAGGTTATTTTTATAGAGAAGAGTCTGGAATTGGGGTGGGATAAATATTTTAATTTTTTTAAACTTAAAAGTCATCTATGCAACAAATTACTTAAGGATCATTTGTGGTAATTTTATTTATAAACCACAGGGACAGTCTTTGAAATTTTGTAGACAAGAATAAGTATCACGTGTGACCCACTCTTTAAGGCCCGACCCATGGATCCTTGCCCCCCACCCCCTCACCTACCTATGTATAAATGTCATGTTATTTCGATCAAGTTAGAGCAAAAGCAAATTCTCTTGCAAAACAATCCAACTTTTTCCTTTTTGAAACTGTGGTTGACGATCGTTGCCGGAGATATGGCCAGTTTGCTGGACAAGGCGAAGCAATTCGTTTCGGATGCGGTGGCGAGCATGGAGAAGCCGGAGGCGAGTGTGACGGATGTCGATCTGAAAGAAGTTAGTCTCGGTTCTGTGACTTATCTGGCTAAGGTCAAGGTGTTAAATCCTTACAGTGTATCTATTCCAATCGGCGAGATCCGTTACGTTCTTAAAAGTTCCGGCAGGTTCGTTTGCTATCATTTTGTTCATTTAGTTTCGTATACCTTTCAACAGAGTAAACTTAATGTAGGTTGTAGCTATGCAAGTACTCGATTATCAAATCAAAATTTTACTGAAAATAAGAACAATCTATCGTATACGCTAAGGACTTGTTTTGGCAGGTTCTTTTGCTATCATTTTGTGGAGATCTCATTTCGCTTTAATTCTGTAACTTTGAAATTCTAAATTTTACCAAAAATGTGAATAATCAGACGTGGTGAGGATCTGTTATCGAGAGAGAGTTTCGGCAGCTTGTTTCGATCTCCTTTGACGTTTATCTGTTACTTTCACAAAACTTCTACACAGTAGATGTAGCCATGGAATTTTGGTAGAAAACTTTTCTTAAACATTTAGTAATTCGGATAAGGATCTTGTCAAAAGGTTGGGCAGATCTGTTTGTACACAAAATCCCACACGGTAAATGTAGGTATGGAAGTCGTTAATTATCAAATCCAAATTATTAATTAAATAATCACATCATTTTTGGTTTTGGTAAAGTTGGATGAACTTATTGCAATAGTGAGAAAGTATATCTCTACCAAACATTATTTTAAGATCGCGCATGGAATAAAAAGCATATTCCCTCTAAATATATTTTCAAATTAGGCTGTTTGGTTTGGTTTTTAACAAGTATTTGTTATTATTATTTTAATTAATAGATTACAAGGTTTTTTTTTTTTTTTTTTTATTTAAGATTTCGAGTAATTCTATTTAACAAGTATTTGTTATTATTGTTTTATTTAAGATTTCGAGTAATTCTATTTAATAATATATTAAGTTAATTTGGTGAAGTAAGTGTTTTATAATTAATATTGATGTTTTGGATTGAACTAGTGAGATTGCAAGCGGAACAGTCCCGGACCCAGGTTCACTGAAAGGGGATGGTGAGACGATGTTAAACGTGGATATAAAAGTACCACATAGTGTTTTGGTTAGCTTGGTGAAGGACATTGGTAGAGATTGGGATATCGACTATGACCTTAAAGTCACACTCGTTGTTGATCTCCCTCTCATTGGTAACATCAGCATACCAATCACTAGTACCGGTGAGGTCAAGCTCCCTACCCTCTCCGACTTCTTTACTTAAATACAATACCCTTAAAAAATCATAAATAAGATCAATCTTGTACGTGTGATCACACACTTTTCAATTATCTTATGTATAAGTTTTTTTTAATTCCGAGGATAGCTATATACAAACTTATATTTATTAGCGAACATCATGTATTTGTCACAAAATTGCACCCTTCCTTTAAGTAATCACCGACTTTTACCCACTTCCACAATCGGAAACTCTACTATTTCACTACTTGGGTATATTTTATATATTGCATGAGTAAAAATGTAAAATTAACATCAAACTTACTCGACCATGTGAAAAATGTTGGAGAAGTGCAACGATGAAGGAACCATCAAAAATGTGCAATGTCAGATGGGAAAAATCATATTGCCATCTTTGGCTTAAAGTTATTAGTGATAATTAACCACATGACTTCTAATTGTCTTAACTTAACGATTTAATGTTATCGACACAGACATATACATGTGTAAGTTAGAAAAACAAAACATACATACAAAAGATCGAAAATTACATGTATAAGTTAGAAATCAGTTCTTCAAACAAAGTGTACATATAAAAGCTCCAAAATTAGATTTCATACGGGAACTTGATATGCCACATTACCAGAGAACGCTTGGGGCCTCAAATTGTTTTTCACATAAGGTTTTCGAAATATCAAGAGTCGGCCTGATTAATTCCAAAACAAATGCTCAAGAACATGTGTGTGTTCATTAGTTTCGAGAAAAACTCAAGAATGTGTGTGTTCGTGTATTGGAATAAAAACGAGTTTTTAACCAAAATAGGGTTATTGAAAAAAATATTTACCAATCTAGTATAGTTTGAAAAATATTTACCAAACTAGTGTTTTTCTTCATTTTTTTTATTTTTTAATATTTCTTATTGTTTTTCTATTTATTTAAAATATCAGCTTTTTTACTTTTTTTTATTTCAGTTTTTTTACTATTTATTTTAAATATCAGTTTATTATTATTATTATTATTATTATTATTATTATTATTATTATTATTATTATTTACTATGCATTTAACATAAATATCTAACATACAAAAGAGCTTTATTATTTTGGTTCATTACATGTCTATTTGATTAATTTTTTTCTACCGTTTATATAGTGATTACGAGTTTACTTTAATTTTCTTACCATTTATTTATACATATATTTTAAAAACTTAACCCTTTTACAAATTCAAGTTTTTTCTCATGTCTTTATTTATACAACCTTTGCATGCTTTTTAATTGAGTGTCTTTACATTATAAAATATAAAAAGCAAAAGTTTACATATTTTTTGTCTTTACATAAAAACAAATATGTAAAAACATAGAAAACAAATTTTAAAAAAAAAATCTAATTTGTAAAACGAAAGAAATCATAAAATACATGCATAAAACGAAATATGTAAAAAATATTTAGAAAACAAATTTCCAAATCAATAAAAACTATTATTTCAAAACACGTGAAAACAAAATTGTAAAAAAAGAATATACGGACAAAATTTTATAACACAACTATTACTTTTGCTTTTTATATTTTATTTTCAATGTAAAGAAACTCAATTAAAAAGCATGCAAAGGTTGTATAAATAAAGACATGAGAAAAAACTTCTTTTTGTGAAGGGTTAAGTTTTTAAAATATATATATATAAAAATAAATGGTAAGAAAATTAAAGTAAACTCGTAATCACTATATAAACGGTAGAAAAAAATTAATCAAATAGGCATATAATGAACCAAAATAATAAAGCTCTTTTGTATGTTATATATTTATGTTAAATGTATAGTAAATAAAAGTATATAAAATTTAATAAAAAAAAACTGAAACAAAAATAAAATAAAAAAATAAACTGATATTTAAAAACAATAAATAGTAAAAAAAAAACTGAATTAAAAAAAGTAAAAAAGCTGATTTTTTAATAAATAGAAAAACAATAAGAAATATTGAAAAATAAAAAAAAATGAAGAAAAACACTAGTTTGGTAAATAATTTTCATACTATACTAGATTGGTAAATATTTTTTTCAATAACCCCATTTTGGTTAAAAACTCGAATAAAAACTCACAGCATGTGACATGTGTGTGTTACAATGAAAAAAAAATCTGAAAACAACCACAATGAAAATCCACATCTGGACAAAAACAAACACGAATCTAAGCAAATTGATGTGTGTATGTGTGTTAATGTGTTGGGACAAGGAATGTGACGAGAAAACCAGAGCGACTCCAAAACTCAAGAACGTGGGGTTGGAGATGCTTTTGAGCAACAAAAACTGAATAACTATTTTGTTAACGTGTTTAGGGATTGTTTTGATGTTCTGAAATCAAGAACTCAAAAACTAAGCAAATTGATGTGTGTATGTGTGTTAATGTGTTGGGACAAGGAATGTGACGAGAAAACCAGAGCGACTCCAAAACTCAAGAACGTGGGGTTGGAGATGCTTTTGAGCAACAAAAACTGAATAACTATTTTGTTAACGTGTTTAGGGATTGTTTTGATGTTCTGAAATCAAGAACTCAAAAACTAAGCAAATTGATGTGTGTATGTGTGTTAATGTGTTGGGACAAGGAATGTGACAAGAAAACCAGAGCGACTCCAAAACTCAAGAACGTGGGGTTGGAGATGCTTTTGAGCAACAAAAACTAAATAACTATTTTGTTAACGTGTTTAGAGATTGTTTTAATGTTCTGAAATCAAGAACTCAAAAACTAAGCAAATTGATGTGTGTATGTGTGTTAATGTGTTGGGACAAGGAATGTGACGAGAAAACCAGAGCGACTCCAAAACTCAAGAACGTGGGGTTGGAGATGCTTTTGAGCAACAAAACTGAATAACTATTTTGTTAACGTGTTTAGGGATTGTTTTGATGTTCTGAAATCAAGAACTCAAAAACTAAGCAAATTGATGTGTGTATGTGTGTTAATGTGTTGGGACAAGGAATGTGACAAGAAAACCAGAGCGACTCCAAAACTCAAGAACGTGGGGTTCGAGATGCTTTTGAGCAACAAAAACTAAATAACTATTTTGTTAACGTGTTTAGAGATTGTTTTGATGTTCTGAAATCAAGAACTCAAAAACTAAGCAAATTGATGTGTGTATGTGTGTTAATGTGTTGGGACAAGGAATGTGACGAGAAAACCAGAGCGACTCCAAAACTCAAGAACGTGGGGTTGGAGATGCTTTTGAGCAACAAAAACTGAATAACTATTTTGTTAACGTGTTTAGGGATTGTTTTGATGTTCTGAAATCAAGAACTCAAAAACTAAGCAAATTGATGTGTGTATGTGTGTTAATGTGTTGGGACAAGGAATGTGACAAGAAAACCAGAGCGACTCCAAAACTCAAGAACGTGGGGTTGGAGATGCTTTTGAGCAACAAAAACTAAATAACTATTTTGTTAACGTGTTTAGAGATTGTTTTGATGTTCTGAAATCAAGAACTCAAAAACAGGAGAATGAAGATCTAAAATCTAGTTCATGTGTTCGGAGATGCTCTTGATTAATTCCAGCAACAAAAAACATGCATATAATCCGAAGAAAGTTTAGGTTGTGTTTAGTTGCGAAAAATTGGCCGTTTTCCGGAAAAAATTTCCAAGAAAAATGAGAATTTTGAAAACGTGTTTAGTTCGTCTATTTTTCTAAATTTTTCACGGAAAATGAAAATTTTCCGTTTTCTAAAATTACAAAGAAGTTGGAACTTTTTGGAAAACCAATAATCATTGTCTTCCATATTTTTCTAATTCCAAATTTTTTCTAAAATATAAACATACACCCACTCCCACCTCTACCTACCCCACCTTAACACCTCCAACCCACCATACCCCTACCTACCTACCCACTCCCAAGCTCACCCCCACAAACACACACCTACCCCAACCCCCACCCACACCCACACCCCCACAAACAAACAAACACACACATACACAACCACAAACACACACCCACATCCACCCCCACCCCCACCCCCACCCCCACCCCTACAAACACACAAACACACACACACCCACAAACACACAGCCATACCCACCCCCACCCCCACAAACACACACACACACACACCCACAAATAGATAGCCACCTTAATCCCCACCCACACCCACACCCCACAAACACATACCTACCATCATCATCACCACCATCACCACCACCGCCGCCGCCATCACCACCACTGCTGCCACCCCGCTGTTATCGCCGCCGCCACCACCACCACCGTCGCCGCCATCATCGACACCACCACTGCCCCCCGTTGCCGCCCCCACCCCCACCCTAATATCGCTATCGTTTTCTAAAAATGAAAACTGATAGAAAAATACACAACTAAACACGTTTTCTAATTTTCTAAAACTGAAAATTGAAAAATAAATAAGTTTTAACTAAACAGATTTTTCTAAATTTTTCAATGAAAGCTGAAAACGGAAAACGAAAGCTGAAAAGGGAAAACGAAAAACAGAAAATGAAAATTGTTTTTCCGTAACTAAACGTAACCTTAGTGTTTTTTTTTTTTGGAAACTTTCTAGAGGTGTCAAGGTCTCTGGGATGGCAACTTAGATGCAGGATAAGCATTAATATATAATAATCGGTCATAATATTGATTTTGAACAACTGCAAAAAGAGTTTAATTGTAATCGGATACAAAAAATATATAAATAAAATAGTGAGTAAACTATACCGTTTAATTGTAATCGGATACAAAAAATATATAAATAAAATAGTGAGTAAACATGTATAGTTGAAAGTTTTAATTCTTTCATGAGTTCAACCAACCCCCTTAACTTATAGATATGGGGGGTTGGGGGTATTTGCTCTAAGTAGGGATGATAAAAAAAAACTCATATCCGATGGGAGACCTGAAACCCGCATCCGTTTTGACCGGGGAATCCTCAAGTTGACCGATGATGGGGAATCCCTGAATAAAAAAGTGGGGATGGAGATACTCCTAGTCCCTAACGCTGGACCTGGCCCCGGTGTGTGTGTGTGTGTAATACAAAACAATTTATATATTTATAGTATAATTTACAATATCTAAAAAAGTAACCAAACTCATTAATAACTACTTGGTTGAAATTGTACATTTATTTCTTCTTTTATCTAATAATTTAACTTCATGTATAATATTTTGTACTTGGTTTATCTATTTTACCTCAAATATCACTATAATTAATTTTTTTCTACTTGAATTTTTATGTATGCATTTAAATTTGGTAGAAAACTTGTATATAGTTTGTGTGCAATCTATGAATATTTTTATGTTTTTTTTAGTCTTTAAACTTATGTTAGTATAATTGAATTTTAGATTTTCTCTTTACGTAAAACTTTTCATATTAAAAAAAAATGAAATCTTATTCCCCGTTGGGGATCCCCGGTCCCCATTGGGGGTGGGGATTAGGATTCATTTATATTATGGGGACGAGGATGGGGATTGGAATGAAGATTCGGGGATGATGATGGGGATTAGGGTCTCATGTCTTCCTCACCCCCGTTGCCATCTCTAACTTTAAGTTAAGGAAAATGACTCCAGGCTCCAATTTAATCTTGTGGTAGATTGTCCCTCCTAAAGGGTACTTGGCAACTTGTGGGGCATGAGATCCCCAAATTCCTAAAGTACTTGTTGCACTTCTTGAGAAAGAAGTTGTCTTGGTATTTGATCCGTTCTTCTCTTAGCCTAAAGTGGATCCCTCCGTATGGCGAATCTTGATTGACTGACACTAGGAACCGATCCGGAGAAAGAAGAAGTATGAGATAGGCGGTGGAAGAAATTCCGATAGCAAATTACTTGACTTGATGGATGGAGGTAGAGCCCTCCAACTCTTTGAAAGTTGACATGGTGAATTATATTATCAAGTCATTATCTTTTTAAAGTCATTTTATATATTTTTTTAAATGTTATAATTTTATAGAGATAAAATTTTAGTTTTGGTGTTCAGCTTTAAACTATCATCTATTTCTGCCAAACATATATTATCTTGTTTAAAAAAAAGTTTATACAAAAATAAGTTAAATAGTATATTCTAAAAAAAAACATTAATAAAAAATTGTTTTTTTATCCTAAAAATCCGTTAAGGAAAAAATGACTTTGTGGCTCCAAGTGTCCTTCTAATAAACCCATAAACAAACAAACAAAGAAAATTGGATGGGGGAGCGTTGTGGTTTATGGTAGGTTCTTCAATGGCAATCCGCCATTTTCATGCTTTGATTCCTCTGTATCGACATTAATGACCTTTCTCTCTATAACTCGCATTTAATGCTGCAATTCAGCGACCTACCCACCCACTTCCGATAATATCCATCACCACCACCACGTCCACCCTGTCTCCTCCCTCCAGATGGACATCACCACCACCACCACCCACCACCACTATTACTTCAATGTCCACCATATCTCCTCCTCCACCCCCCATCACTAGCCCTACCCATTACTACCTAACTAACATCGGCCTCGGTTACGCCATCGCCATCGCACTTGGGTTTCTCGTCCTCTTCGCCACCCTCCTCCTCGCTTCCTACATCTGCTTCCGCCACCGTTACAGGTACCAGTACCAGCATCGCCACCAAAACCAAAACCCTAGCGATAACGGCGTAATTCTACCGAGTATAATCTTCGTAGATGAAAACAACAACGACAACGATGATGAAGAGCAGAACGCCGTCGTAGGACTTGATCAAGCAGTGATCAACTCATACCCTAAGTTTCCGTTCTCGAAGGGAATTGATTCTTTATGCGCAATCTGTTTGTGTGAATATAGGGAGGGGGAGATGTTGAGGATGTTACCTGATTGTAAGCATTGTTTTCATTTGACTTGTGTTGATGCTTGGTTGAAGCTTAACGCTACTTGTCCTGTTTGCCGGAGTTCTCCGCTTCCTACGCCGTTGTCAACTCCGTTGGCGGAGGTTGTTCCTCTCTCACAGTATTCCGACGGGCGTCGCCGGAGGTAATTTAACTGAAGCGTTACCAGATCTCTCGCAATCTATTCCGAGTGTTCGCTGATTGTTTAGTAATATTACGATGAACTGATGATTCTCCTGTCATTTTCTCTAGAAATTAGGGTTTTGATTAGTGAATTTAGATGATTTTAAGAGGTTCAGATTTTAATTTGTTTCAGATTTTGTGATTTCAGAATTTCTCTTCTTACTTCATTTTCTAGCTTCTATTTGATCAATAACATATTCGAATTATAAGATTCAAACTTTTTTATTCTGGCTTAATTGAACAGATTGAAAAAGTGAAATTGTTCATGAAATTCTTCATCTTTCATGTGATTTTTGTTGCGATTCCATGATTTTCGAAACGTTTGATCCTTTCCCTGTTCATGAATCGTGATGGTTGACCAACTTTTTCCATGGTCACACGATCATTTCTTTAAAAAATCTGTGATTTTTTTCAAACACCATCGAAATCATGTGATCAAATTTCATCTCCTGCATCTTTTCGAGTTTTCGGATCTTGATTGTGAGAAATTAATTCGGTTCCTTTATTTACGCATGATAATATGCATTTTTTTTTTACATTATATTATCTTGAATTTGGCATCACTTGAGCTACATTGTAGGTTCAGAAATCATGGATGCATTTGTTTATACAAGACTTTTAAGGTTGCTTACACTGTGATAAACAATTGTTAATTCTTCTTAATCCATCTGTCAAACTAGAACCTTGAATCTGAAACCAATTTGTTCATAAACTATTACTTTAAATAGTCAAACCAAAAGTTCAAGATTCGAGATCATATTAAAAATTCAAAAGATTTGGTATCTCAAAATCCAAGCAAAGCTTAGATTTTTATCAAGTTTTCTATAGGATGCAACTCTGAACTTTTCATAGCAAAAATGAAGTTAAGCATATCGAGAGGAATTCCCAAGTTTGTTTTCTTATCTTGTGTTTTTTCACTTATTTGTGTGGTTTTATTTTCAAAATTTTACTCTTTCAACCCTTTTATTAGTTTGGATACTAAATGCATGTATGATTCTAATCCTCATGTTACATATCATCCCGAAATCAAGATATTAGAGACAGTTATCAAGAAAATCGAGCAAGAAATTATCGATATTAAAGTTTCACACAAGAATTCTCCGCACGCGTTAAGATACAGTTCGTTTCTTGCAAACATTTTGGGTTTAATCGAGTCTGCAAAGTTTGAGGAAAACGAGGTTGATGGATTACCTGAACGTGACGTGAACCAGTCGAACTCAAACTCGGTTCAACCGGTTCACGTCTCGCAGGATTTCTTTCTAACAGAAGAAATCCGGAAATATGTTCGGATGAAACCGAATAGATTAGGAAAACAAAACTTCATGGGCGCAAACGGGACATTCACAAGCATAGGACATGCGTGTTTCTCAATGAAACAAGAGCTCGAAGAGTATATGAATTATGATGTTGGTGACATATGCAACGATGATTGGAAGTTGGCTCAACGGTTAATGGTGCACGGGTGTGACCCATTGCCAAGAAGACGGTGCTTCTCACGAGCCCCACGGTTCTACACCGAACCGTACCCAATCCCCGAGTCCATTTGGAGACTCCCAGATGATAAAAACGTCCGATGGAGTCATTACCGATGCAAAGGTTTTGTCTGTCTTGCTGCCAGCAAAACAGGCAAAGGTTTCTTCAAATGTGCAGATTGTTTCAATCTGACACATCATGAAATGCCGAGATGGGTCGGACCCCTTTATCTGGGTCCGACCAACTCAACTCCAGACTTCCTGATCACAGAAATTCTAGACCTGAAGCCCGGCGAGATACGTATCGGTCTTGACTTTAGCGTTGGAACGGGTACTTTTGCTGCTAGAATGCGGGACCACAATGTGACGATTGTCTCTGCTACGATAAACCTTGGGGCGCCTTTTAGTGAAATGATTGCGCTTCGTGGACTTGTACCAATCTACATGACGATAAATCAACGGCTCCCGTTTTTTGATAACACGTTGGATCTGATCCACACAACAAGGTTTCTGGACGGGTGGATCGATTTCGTGCTATTAGATTTTGTACTATATGATTGGGATAGAGTACTTAGGCCCGGAGGGTTGTTATGGATTGATAGTTTTTTTTGCTTAAAGGAGGATTTAGAGGATTATTTGGAGGGTTTTAAGATGTTGAGGTACAAAAGGCACAAGTGGGTGGTTGTACCAAAGGTTGATAAAGATGATGATAGAGAGGTTTTCTTTTCTGCTGTTTTGGAGAAGCCTCCTAGGCCTTTCTAGTCAAAGTACAAGTCTTTAATGGATGATGTACAACTTTTAATGCATTGACGTAGAAGTTGTATTAGTAATATTCTTCTGCAAATATGATTTGTATCTAAGTTATTGGGTGCAGTTTGCCGGTTCAGATTGAATTTTAACATGTCCAGTGAGGTACAAGTCTTGATGCATAATTTGCAAGTTTTAATAAGCAATATTTTTCTCCAATTGTGCTTGTATCTATGCTTTTGGGTTAGCTTGTTGGCTGTTAATAGCTATTAATCCCTTTGCTCAAACAATACACAATGTTTGATTTTTCATATAACTTATTAAAATACAAATATTTGACTACTAATCAATGTTCTGAAGCCGTTTTAATAGGGACGTGATAGAAAAACTTAAGGACAGAAACTAAAGTCAAAATATGAGGTTATTGTTGGTGATGGATGCATACCCACAACGTTGCAAACATTATTTCCACGAAAGTGCTAAACTTACTGATTTTTGCTAGACCAAACACAATAATTACCAAATTTATGGGTATGTTTGGTCAAACTAGGTAGAAACTGATGTTTAATAGCTAATAAATGAAAGCCGCAAGGTAGAATATATAAAGTACATCAAATACAATAAACGCAGTTATTTTGTTTTAAGAATTTAGATGGTTTGGTGGACTGTACATATACGAAAGTTGTTGAATGATATTGATAGGTTACAAGTCTCTTTTTTCTGTGAATAAGGAAATAATACTTAACTTGGTTGGTTTAGTTTTGGTGCTGTTCTTGGGGGTGTTTAATAAGTGATTGTGATTTGGCTGTAATCTTCAAATTCGAAGTTGTAAAAATAAGATAGTCATCCTGTGTGTATTTCAAATTATGATTATTTAAGTAACTAGTAGATAAAATCACATAAATAAAATGATTATTTGTGTGATGCATAACATCGTCCTCAATATACACCATGCCACCATGAGTCTGGTGAGAGATCTCGTCCACCCACATTCAGGGTGAAGATACAAGGGCCTACTGCAGTGTGGTTAATAGACCACCCATAACTAACTAATGAGAACTATTATTGAGAAGGATATTGAGATTATTGCAATGATAAAATTTTGTAAAGATCATTGTAGGATTTGTGCCTTCATTTGTTTATTATTTTTATATTTTTTTTTTCAAATTTCCCCCTCAAGAGTCCAGACAAATGTCAAATGAAGGAAAAAAAGGAGGGAGAATTTTGTAAAACTTTGTAACGATAAGAACGTTTTTGTAGTTTTACCATGAACATTCAAAAAAAAAAAAAAAAAAAAAGTTATGCAGTTGAAAACTTACAAGATTTCTACAAAAGAATAATAGTACATAAAGAGTTGGGTTCCATGTGAGATTGGGGGTTGCAGCCTATTGTAATCTGCCAAGTGGCGATTCAGAGGCATGATCATCAACCAACCAAAGACCATAGTCATGAAAGCGCTTTATTTTCTTTTCAAAACCAAGAATGTAATTGTTATGAATTATAACATGTTTTCCTTTCGTCTCTTCTGCCCATGTCTGATTCTTAAAATATAGTCCACCTGTTGGAAATGCTGCCTGAGGGAGCAGGTATAGGTCCACCTGCTTTCAATTTTTCTTATTTTAGCATTCTACTTTCCAAAAAAAAATAAAAAAAATACTATAGCATTGTATTATCAGGGCATTGTACTTTGAAAAAATCTACCTAGTTATAAGAATGCTACCTTTTAAACCATAATATAATGGGTTGATGTTTCAAAGTACGCAGCCATAAATAATAAGGTTAAAGGTATGAGAAAGACACCTGGCCTGCTGTTTTGTTCAATGCCCAGTTGAAAGCAGGCTGGTCATTAGCTTTCTTTGCTTTTGACCATGGTTGACTTTCAAGCTCTTCAATCCACTTTTTCAAGACCAATTTTGCCCCTGGTGTTGGGTGCATATAAATCATACAACTGCAAATATAAGTACGCCCTTTTTTCCCAGGAGGTGGGAGGACATTAGGATGATCCAGCGGTTTGACCTGGTCAAGATTGCAAAACAAAATGAGACCAAGGTTTTTAGAAATAAAAATAAGTAATATCTGATGATCATCTCGATGAAACAACTTAAATATCTAGACGATAAACTTACAGCAGCCATGTCATCCATAAAGTACACATCATGTTTTCCTTTGAGGTAAAGAAATGGATCTGCTAGCCAGACCATATCAACATCATTGTACATCACACTATATCCAAGCTCTAGGATTTGCAGCAAATGCCTTGGCCTTCTGGAAGTGAAGTTGAAGAATCCCTGCAAATGGAACCAAAACCATTAATCATAAGAATGTAAGTTCTGGATTGATACATGGAGGTAATGCCAAAAGAATATGATTCAACCAGTATGCAAAGTGAACTGCCAACAGAATGACAAATCATACAGGACTGCAATTAGCTAGGCATCTTTGGCTTGTGATTGACTAAGCAATGGTGAATCAGATGATTTTGACATCTCCAGACTCCAATTATAGGCCATAACTAAAGCCAAACCACTATTCATTACGCTAAACACAGATCATCATCTTGCATCTTGCAAGCATTCATTTTAGTTCAGAACAAATATCAAATCATACCTGAGAGCCAAACTTATGAGCAACTTGAGCATCAGGTGCAGGAGGTATCAACACAGCATGACCAGGCCACCTCCCATTAACAGTATACAACGTCGCATAATCCTCCGCAATAACAAGCACTTTCTCATGATGCTTTTGCCTCACAATACTAATCAACCAATTATTCAAAAACGGCAAGTACGGCTGACTCACCGCACAAACAATCACCGTACTCCCATTCTTCGCCACATACGCCACCGCTTCCGGTAGCGTATATCCTCGCCATTTCGCTTCCAAAGAAACCCTAGAATTGCCTGAATACGAAAAAAACGTTGAACGGTCACCGATCCATGGGGAGAACACGCCAAGGATTATGAGGAGGGTGAGGAGGAGCAAAAGCGTGGTCCGATTAAAGAGCATTGACAAGGAGTAGGGTTTTGAGTGACCATCCGTTGATGATTTTTGGAATAACAAATTGTAGGGTTTGTGAAGTGACCTTTGATGAAGTGATGATGTTGATGACATTGAATTTGTATATAAAAACCTGAGGATTGATTCAATTGAATGATGTATGGATAGATTTAGTGTGTGTTCTTGGTGTTTGTGAGTGTAGCTGGTGAAGTGAGTGTGGAAGAGCTTGAGAGTGTGAAGCTATGGAGGTTCAGTGGAAGATTTTCCGATTGGATCTAAAACCAGAAGAATTATATGTGGTGGGTTATGCTAACTTACGCAGTTACCGCGTCGGTAGTAACAATAACGAGTTAACGACTGTCATACAGAGTTGTTGGTCAGGCAGACTGACAGGCACCGGAAATAAGATTTATAAATTTTTTAAAGGGCTAACTCCTATATACTATTAAGTTTATTCTTGATTAAATCTTAATTTTATTTTCTTTTTAGATATTTTTTTTATTCGACAATTTTAGCAGGCAATCTTTACTTTATAATATTTTTTTGAAAAAAGTTCTAACTTCTTCTTTTCAAAATAACCCTCGCAAACTTTTTTGTTTTGATTTATTAAAAAAAACATATGAACTTAAAGTTTTTCTTACGAGTTTTACTTTAAGAAACTTAGAAACCAATGATACAAGGTAAAAAAAATAAACTAAAAAGTTGAATAAAAAATATGAGATAATACTAGACTTAGAGAAAAGATTAAACCTTTAAAAAAAATAAAGCAAATTTAAGAGTTTTCTTGAAAATATTCAAACACATGTTTACCGAATTCGTTTTAACCTTTTTTCATTGCTAATTAGTAATTACCATTCACCAAATCTTACATTCCGGTGTTTCTCCTAAATTTACAATGACACATCAATAAACAGATGTCAAGATATTTTTTCTAGTAAATATGAACTTTTTTTAGGATTTCAAATAAATAAAATAATTATTATGAGATAGAAGAAAAATTGGATTTAAATCTTGAAAATAGACAAACTCCATCCAGTTTCTAAACAATATAGCCAAAAGAATAGGGATTACTCATAATGTTTTATAGATTTAATCAATAGTCAAACACTTTTATTAAAAAAATAAAACACCAAATTACATACAGGCATACACAAACAAACAAAATGCAGGTACAAGCAAAGGAAATATAAATATACACTTGTTATTCGCAGTTTCATGAGCACATAAGTGAAGTCATGAAATTGAAATATAAGGGGTTTCCTTGTTGCAATTGCAAATGATTCAAGAAACGGCACTTGTCCTTAGTTTGGGTGTCTTTTGTTTGACAAAAAAAGAGGACAAAACACTCTTGCTGCGTATAGGATGAGGAGGAACATGGGCAACCTCACGTTTAGGATTATCAAATGACCGGAATGACATCATTGGGTTTGGATTTGGACCCTCCAACTCATCCTGTCAAACCAAATACATTTTACCCAAATTTACCCTTGCATTCTATTTCTAACAAAAAACATTTCACAATATTCATCAATTTTAATGCCAGAGGAGTTGTGTGAAAAAATATATTATATATATATATATATATATATATATATATATATATATATATATATATATATATATATATAAGGGGAAATAGGTAAAAGGGTCGGTGTCTTAATACATTAAGCCAGTTTTTTTAGCTTAATCGATTCTGTCAGGAGTAAGTAAAAAAGAAACAGCCATGTATAGTTGTCCAGATTAAGTGCTTAATCCATTAAGCTCATCAAGTCAAAAAGAAACAACCCCTTAATCTGGACAAAATGACTTAATATGTTATGTTAAGCTAAAAAACCTTGGCTTAATGTATTAAGACACTAACCCCTTAATCTTCTTATATGTTAATAATTATCGAATTTAACGTTACCAGTCGTGAGATGCCAAGCGTCTGAATCGCGGCGCTTGAAGCTGGGCCCGCATTCCGCGTCGCTTCAGACGATTTTGTCCGTACCCCATCACCTCCATCTACATGTAATAAGTATTATAAATACAATTTTAATGCAATTAAAAAACAAAAATAGTAAAAAGATACATACGGGATGCATGATGATGATGTGACACAGGAGCATGGCCAGAAGTTTTCGGCTCATCAAAACTGCAAATAATAACCCAAAATACTTACCTTTTGCAATCATATTTAATACATTAAATATTATGAAATCAAAAGAAAACATTAAATGAAGATATTTACGCACCTCATTGAGCGTGAACTGGCTTTCAATGTAGACTTGGTTTCTGATGCTAAATGCCAACAAAGTGTATTTGCAGGCGGGGTGCCTACTTCAAATGCAACATGCAGATTTATTAAACATGCAAACATTATAAGATTTCAAATGATATATATATATATATATATATATATATATATATATATGTGTTACTGTTACCTGAAGAAAATTGTCGAGGCCTTGAATGAAAATGACTCTGATTTCCATCAGTTTTAGTCTGAGGGCTAAAATGGACTTTTTTGCTGACAGATTCTAGGTTGAAACAATGTGTAAGATGTTAAAGTTCCATTATGAAATACAATTGAGCAATAATAACCAAAAATCAAATGTACTAAAGCTCATTTACCGATTTAACAATGTACTATAACTGTAGACAAATTGTACCAAAATTATCAAATATCTTGAGATAAATATTGTTATTTTTTAAATTTTGATATAGATGTTGTTGATTGTCAAATTATCAAATGATTAATACTGTGTTTGTCTTTCTGGTAATAATATATAGCAACATACTTTCACTTTAATTCTATGTGGTGATTGAATTTTAAAACATTACTAATTTGAATGATTTTTATAACGGTTAAGTGCAAGAAATAGCAATGTACTTCCGTTGATTTGTTTATCATAGCATCTTACTTTCATTTCTTCCTATTAAAACATTGTACTTTGAAAAATCTACCCAATTATAACAACAATATCATCCAAATACAAAGCAATTTTCATTTCTATAATTGGGTAAATTTTTCAAAATATAATATTCTACTAAGAAAAGAAATGAAAGTACATTTTTCAAAGTACAACACTGTAATAGAAAAAAATGAAAGTAGGATGATATAATACACAGACAAATGAAAGTGCATTGGCATTAATTGTTATTTGCCCTCTTGGTAGTTAACCTTTTCCAAAACTTCTAAATAGTTAAGCTCTATTTTTTTCAGTCATCTAACACTTTCGTTCTGTGGGTCCCATTAACTTGAAAGCAAACTGCATAAACAAAAGAGCACAAATATTCTTACTAGGCAAACTGTAATGCTTGTGATGACGTGGCACAGCAGCTAGCAACTGTTGCTGTCTGAGTGCTTCTTTGTCCGTATACGTTTGGCATGTAAGAAGTTGCTTAACATAAATAGAATAAATAATGAATCGTCAATAATTCTGGTATAAAAGATCTTTTAAAACGCATCTTACCTGATGTAAACATGAAACATGTAATCCAGTTGTTGAAATTTCTAAACTTTGTTGGTCTAAAAGATCGGTCAATTTGTAAGCAACAGTGCCAAGATGGTCAACAGCATTGACAAGTGCCCGTACTGCATAATCTTTTAAGTTATCAAGAACCCTACAATAAAACGAATATAAAAATTACATTATTTTTATAAAAATTGATTTGTTTGACTATTACGAGATGTTCAGCTTCCAAATGATTCTCACACTTGTTTTTGTTCGCTATGAAGATAAGACTTTTCACAATAATCAGCTGCTGAATAAAGTTGAGGCCTTAGATTTTTTAGTTCCTAAAACAAACATTAAACAAGGATTAAAACCGATTAACAACGCAATAATTAGCTATTATTTAATCAATATCTAAAACTAGCAAAAAAACACATGTTGTAATGTAAACAAATTATTATGTAATCAGAAAGGCTGGCTAACCGAAAGAAATAGCAATGTAATTTCATTTATTTGTGTATAATAGGAAGAAATGAAAGTAGAATGCTATAATAAACACATCAATGATGCTATTTAATTAGAATTCATCAATCCAAAATTACCAAGTACCACTTTTTCCTATTTCCTATGAAAATTGCAATGTTTGAGCTTGACCAGACACATGTGCATGTGATCCTTAAGTTAATAATACGAATTCTCTCTAACATGACAACCCATGTTATTGATGGACCCTAAGCTTTTAAGAATTAAGTAATTCGATCATGACAACTCACACTTAAATGATCACATGTTTAAAAGATGTGTATTTTAAGGGAGTTCTGAATGTTTGGCAAAAAGTTATTATGATTCTAATTTTCTGATTTTGTAGGGTGGAAAATAATGAGTTTTGAAGGTGTGTAAAAAACTGATTATGAATTGCCTAATTTAACAACTTTTCATCTAATTACCTGATTATCTTATTTTGATTCTCTGGTTCATAATAATCACATTGAACACTCCCATCCAAACACCCACAGGCCACAACCATTCTATCCAGTTCTCTCTCATTGCTATTGTAGTATCATCATTTCATTTATTTTAAGAAGTCAAACCTATTATTTCTAGAATGCGGAATTGGTACGTGTTTTTAATGCAATTAACGTCAACGTTATTCAATTTGTAGTTCTGTCATAAAGTTAAATGCAGGTGGCAATTTTTCTAGAAAAGTTTAGCATAGACATAACCAATTTGATTCCCAGAGTCAAAGTGTACCTCCTACAACATGCAAATTATTCACATAAAGAGAGATCAAACAGTGAAAGTATCACAGAAAAAGTCAAACATATCGCACAGATTTTCATCATTAACATATATAACTATATACCAAAAACTCAGATCTGATGTGAAGTTTAAAAAAAAAAAGGGAAATTTTAACTGAATTGAAAATTAAAACCTGAAGGGCTGTAACGAAGCTAATGCTCTGTTCCATGGAAGGCTCGTGGAAGGTCAATGATTGATTTGATTGTTCCACTTCCATTACTCTCTGTCTCTAGCTGAATCACGAGCTTAAAACAACAAATTTGGGGGAAATTCAAGAAGAAGTGATCATTTGATATCAGCAAAAGAACCCTAGCTTTGATCGTACAATGCAAATTTGAGAAATGAGTTAGTGAAACTTTGGAATAACTTTTCAGTAAGCCGAGTTGGGAAGCATCAAATGCTTGTTGTCTGGATTAGATTTGGAAGTAATAGAAAAGAATATATTATAGGGGGGGAGAGAGAGAGAGAGAGAGAGAGAGAGAGAGAGAGAGAGAGGGTTTTTTTTGTTGAGCAGAAGCAAAGCCACTGGAAGAGTCGGTTGGAAGTGAAAATGACAATTGGACTGTAAAACCCGCTAAAATAAAAATATGGAGCAGAGAGAGACCCCAAATCATATTTACCTTTTGGCCGAATAATTTTCTCATTATTCCCTTTTTTTTAATAATATTATAAAACTATAATTAAAAAAATATATAAAATTAATAAAAAAATATCTTAATAAATACAAAACTAATAAAAAAATTTCATACTTCAAAATACAAATTACATAATTAAAAATAATAAATTAAAATATAACAATAATTAAAATATTCATCACGCCGAATCATCGTTCGACTCACCGTCCGAATCCTCGTCAAAATGCATGTCTGAATATTCATTTGTAACCACGTACAAATCCTTGTCGATAGGATGTACGTTAGCTCTGTAAATATGTTTCATTAAATCAACGTGAATTGTGTGATACGTATCGTGATCATGTATTTCCCTTCTGTTTGTCATCTAGTGTGGCATACCAATATCTACTCATATCTACTCAGGCACAATTTTGTATTCATCGTAATGGCATATCGTTTTTCCTTCATCTTATAAAATCATATTATCTAATATGATGCATGTATACATTATGATTTGCAATCTTCTAAGATCATATGACTGTGTTGGGAGTTTGAGTATCCGCAAACGCCTCTCAAAAGTATTAAATGCTCGTTCCACATCCTTCTTAGTTGCTTTTCGGTTCGTCTTAAACTTTAATCGTTTATCGTCGTTTGTATATGTCAACGATTTGACAAATATAGACAACTCAAGATATATCTCATCAGTAAGATGATACTCACGCTTGTAGGATACTCTATTCGCTTAAAAGGGCACATTATGTGCCTTTCCAAGATATATGTTGTTGAATACTCACGACTAGTCAATTACATTAATGTCGTTGTTAGAACTCGCAACACCAAAGAATGCATGTCATATCCAAAGATTGTAGAACGCGATTGCTTCTAGAATTATTTTCGGTTCTTTATGATCATCTCGATTCTCGCATGTATTGAACGCGGCATGCATTAGGACATATTGCACACGTCCAATGCATATAATCAATGCTACCAGCATTCCAAGGAACCCATGCTTGTTTTCATGTATCGTGCATAATCGGTGGATGTTACTAATCGTAGGTTTGCGCAAATATTATTTCATGTAAACCATAACCACAACTTTAGCAAACTTGTAAACATTATCTCGTGTGGTCCGTTCAAACATCCTTAAATACTCATCACATGTGTTTGCTCCCATTTTGTATTCTAATTGACGAATTGAGAGTGTGCATATTTTGTATTGGAGAAAAAAAAATCCTATCTCTCGCGCATTTCATTGAAAAAATGGAAATTGACTCTTCAATTCATAAACTATATGTAAGAATAACTTTTTCATCATGCGGAACTGTCAACTAAACTTTTCAGTGTATACAACATCATCGGCAAAGTTGGTTAAAACGTTGGAGTTATGAACATGATGTCTAGGGTTCAAATCTTGTCTTTGACATTATTGTTTTATTTTGCCGGTGACTTGCATGTCCCACATCGAAGATAGGATTAAACTTATGCCATGTTCAATTGCATCCAAGGTTTAGTGGTTTGAATCCGAACTACACCAAAGTCATGCGGTTAAAAACTAGACTGATTAGGCCTGAAACCAATCTCCGAAAAATAAACCACACCAACAGTTTTGTAATTAGAAAAACCACATTTGCGGTTCGGTTTTGGCAAAAAAAAAAACGCACCGTGCTTACGAGTGTATCCAATAGCATATCTTTTACTAAATGTAGCATTTATTTTCTCTGATATTCACCATGAGGTATGCATTTTCAAGAATGAAGTTGATAAATAACGATTTATACAATAAAATGAGTGGTTAATTTATGAATGAGAAAATTTTGTTAGAACGTATTTACAACGATACACTTAAAAAATCTTTTTAAAATAAGAAAACTGGTTGCAAACAATTTCTTTGGTATCAAAACTATATTTACTTTAAATGTTACAACTCGCCCCCGACAACCAAACTCCTTTTACCCATTTATTTTATCGCCTCAAATAATTGGACACTACTATTTTGGATCAGAATGCATCTTGGATTCAAACGCTGGCTGATCAATGAAAGGATACAAGAATTTCTATGATTCAAGTATTCAACGTCTTTGGACACAAATGCCCAGCCCAACCCAATATAGTAGAGCATAGCACCACTACGACCCAAAAGGTGATAATTATAAATGAACATGACTCCATAATGGTAGATTATAATCAAAACGCAAAATCTATAAATAACATGAATCCATAATCAGTATCATAAAATACAATAACCGCAGAAATACGCTCAAAACCTCATACACAACGAAAAATACTCGAGACAAATACTACTGCGATAGACAGACAATACGAGTGAGACACGATCTCAACCATGAGTGTTAAAAGCTTCCCAAACTAAATTCTGTGGGGCCCCGTTCGCCAGGTCACGCGCCTGTAAAGCCGCAGTCCTAAGCGTCTTAAGAGTCGTCACATTCGCATCATAGAAGGACAAACTCGTATACGGCAAATTATGTTTCTTGCAAAGTTCCCTAACAATCGGAGAAATCGACCTCAAATGACACCTCGGCAACCTCGGAAACAAATGATGCTCTAACTGAAACTGCAACCCACCGAAAAACCAATCCATGTAAGACGAACACGAGATATCAATTGTCCCACTCGTTTGCTTCTCAAACCAATCGTTCCCTTTCGGTGGGCCCACGTACACATCAGCCGCGAAATGGTTCAACGTGAACTGAACATGTTGGATTCCGGTCACACAAAAGCTAACCAAAACAAACGCCACACGTTCCGGCCAATTCGGAAGACACGAAACAAGAACCGGAAACCAAGTCCAAAAAACCAGAGTCCCGATAATGTTGTAAGCTCGGTCCGGGATTCTTCGTTTTGAGCATAATAATAATATTGTTTGTAGGTAAAGGTTGACACGTGCCACGCACATGATCGGGTAATATGTGTAATGTTGGTAGGAGATGAAAAAACGCGCAAGATTATCGAAGGTTAATTTACGGCCGTAAAAAACGGAAGTGATGGATTGGAACAGTTTCGATGAGACCGCGAGCATTGGGAGATGTTGGAGGTCGGGATCGTAATCGAGGGAATTACACGCGATGTGGTGCGCGTTGTGTGTCCATTTCCACCACGCGATGCTGATTCCGGTGATGCAATTCCCGATGAAGATTCCAGCGAACTTATTCCACCCGCGGGTCGACATCATTTGGTAATGACCGGCATCGTGGCCTAGATACGCGATTTGCATCCAGGCTAATCCCAATAACGCCCCCGAAAGCATATGAATTGCGACACTAGTGGAATATAGAACACCGTATACGCAAGCGGAAAGGAGTAAGGATACGAAGCAGAGTGAGTAGATGACACCGTGTCCTTTTTTGTCGAACATTCCGGCTTTTGAAAACTCGGACGCGAGCTTTCGGTAGTCTTTAGAGATATCGGAAACTTGGTAGTCTTTTAGGTGGTAACCCGTGCAGAGGTTTTGGAGGTGTTGCCAGGCGGACCCCGGGTGGAAAGCGATGAACGCGTCGGTCACGTCCTGACCGGCGAGATTCAAGAGGGGGATATCGCCGCCCGGATGTATTTTGGACCATTCAGTCACGTTATAAACCTTGCCCTGAATTGAGATCCAAAGATCGGTAGGTTTGTTGTGCTTTTGTAACTCTTCGGATGTTATGTATTTCTTTCCATCGGTCGTTGAATCCAAAACTGCATACAAAAGCTTACGTGTCAGATACAGTATATATACTTAATAAATTGCAACCTACTTTGCCTTTTTTACCATATATGTATACAATATACTTTAACTTTTACCCATTATAGCAACTTTCTACCAAAAACAACATTGAACATGAAGAACCCGGTTTGTTTTTTCTTTCTTTTTTTTGGAGTAAATTACATGAATGGTACCTAACTTTTTTTTTAACTCGGACGGTCCCTATTATATGTTTTTGTTGCATGTTTGGTCCTTGGTAGAAAAATCGAAAGTACGATTACTATTATGGGTAAAAACTAAAAATATATTGTTGATATTGGTATTTGGTAAAACACAACTTGTTCTGGAAATGTGAATGACAGCACACATTTATTATTTTACATGATTTATTAACAATAAAGCTTAAAGAGGCCTTAAACATGTTTAAAGTCCAGAATTAGGGGTCCCACTTTTGACTTAATTAAAGGCATAACTAAACTATTAGTTATTGCACCGAAAAATGGACATAGGTATTATACTTGAAAAAGACAGGTAATAGTATGGGCAATTTGAAAATTTAATGATAGGGCTAAATAACATTTAATTAGATAGTTTAGCAGGCCCACCGGTGATAAATCAGAATTATAAAATATCGGAATAATTAGAAGGTAGTGTGTAACAAGGACCCGCAAGAGTTAAGAGAGTTTTTTTATGGACTATGAATGGACATTTTTCCTTAACTAGTTTATTTCTTGGGTTATTGATTCTCCAAAAGTAGAAACATGAAAAGAAAAAAAAAAACCCAAGAAAATACAGAGATATTCTAACAAATCTTATAGATCCTATTCAGTTCACATCTTATCTAGTTTTTCAAGAAATGGTAATCTTACTGCTTATAATTGGTACTTAATCTAGTAAAAACCAAAATCAACCAATCCCACAAACACACATGGTAGGTAATAGAATATCTGCCCCTTTTTTACAGTTACACATTCCATCATGTATTAACAACCTATACCCACTATATAAGGATACAGTTACTATTGCTTTAAGCACAACATAATAATGAAAGAGGTTAGAATGTGAGCACATTAAGTAAGCTTAGAATCAAGTAGGCTAAGGCCATCCACATAATTGTACTATTCAATCAAAGAATGAATAAACAGGATTAGTGAATAAATAAAGGGTGTGTTCTTGTTTTAATCTGAGAAAGCGGGTGATTTGGGAGAAAAATGAAACAATAATACTCCAATAAATTATTATGGTAAAAGTCTCTGCTTTATACTAGAGAAAAAAATGATACCTTAGCGTACATCAGGGTTGCTATTCCTAAAAAACCAGATCGGATGCCAGTAGAATATGAATTTGATCTTTTAGAAACAGAAAAGTCAGATTTGATTCATGATCAAATCCTTACAAATACTGGAATTCGTTTGGAAAATATGACAAAATAAGAAATCATAGCTTCTCATCTAATTTCACTATGCATAGAACAGATAAAGTAAATCTAACAAATGGATTCATGATCAGATGCAGAAGCAAAGACCGGACTTGAAAGACAGCAATAGAACGATTCACACAATTAAAAACACCAAATCGGTAAGCGAGTCAACTACATCCACTGACAAACCGAGTAAACGCCACAAAATCAAAGAGAAAACAGATGAAATTTAGAAAATGCGAATTGGAAACAACGACCGGCTTTCGACCCCAGCAATAGTCAACAGAATGATTCAAACAATCAAATCAACAAACCGATTCAACGTCATCCTCATACAAACCTGACAAACTACAGGAAATCATAATGAACCTTTTATACTTCGTAAATGTGAATCGGAACAAATACCAAACCTTCAGCCACAACGACAGATCGACTCAAACATCATGATATATAAATCAAAACGTAGCATATAAAATTTCGAAAATGTGAATCGGAAACAAACACCATGCCTTCAACCACACCAACAGAATGGCTCAAGCAATCGACAAACGGAGTAAACCCCGATCAAGCATCACAAAATCATTATCAAGAAAATCTCAAAATGTGAATCGGAAACAAAAACTAACCTTCAACGACAGCAACGGAAGGAGAAACCATCGTTGAATCTTCACACATCGACACGAATCCACCTCCAACTGCTTCACCACCGATGATTTATGTTAAAATAACAAATATAAAGCACAATGTGCAGCGATGCAACCCGGAGAGAGAATTTGATACGAATATGTTTCGCTATTTTGAACCCTAACAGCGCAAAATTGCAAATATTATATTAGTAAGGAACAAGGTTGCAGTAGGAGAAAAGATCAACGGTTGAGATCGAATTGATCGTTGAAAATATCTTCGATGAGCTCAACGCGTGAAGTACCAGATAATCCCTCCGAGGTCCTGAATTCGATCCTATTACACACTATGTTTGATGGACCGCCCATTGTCATCCCAAAAAAAATCTAACACAATTAATTAATATTATTTATTTGATTTTAAAGTATTTTGTTTGGGATTAAACTTTATAATTTACTTGTCTATTTTTTTTAGGTTTTAATAAATTATTCGTTAATTAGGCATTCTAAATTACATGAATGGTTCCTATGGTTTCAATTTTTTTCATGGTTGGTCCATCAACAAGAAAGGCAAGTTCAAGGGATTTGTCAAAAAAAGATTTCATTCCTTGCTTCCTTCGCTGGAAAGATATTCTAGTAAATAGAAAACTCGTCATTCAACGTTCATCACCAACACCATGATTGTTCATTTCCAGCAGCCACCACCCTTCACCTCCGACCAAAATCGAAAATCTCCACCATCTTTGAAAACCAATATCATTTTGTTTCACATTAAATTCATTTTCGAAACATCATTGAAAAGAAAATCCATACTCGCATTATTCATTCGAAAACCAATTCCGACATGTGAAATCGAAAATCCATATCATACACTATCTCAAAGAGAAACAGCATAATCATCCATCGAAAATCGAAAATCAATTCATCTGCATAGAAAATCAAGGTATCCAATAATCCTTCACCCTTCTTCAAACCTTCAAAAACTAAACCAACAACGAGACTAACCATCATCATCATCGAAATCAAAACGAAAATCCATAACCCATCTTTTGATCCATCCTTCCTTCGATAAATTAATAGCCTTTGAAAATCTAATCATCAAACAACTTTTGCAATTCGAAAATAATTACTATTTTCTATTGTTGTGTCGTCGACCAGAAGAAAAAAAAACGAGCTTGAGGGGTGGGGACGATCGCATGATGAGCAATGGATGCATCGACAAGTGAGGACTAAGGCGAAGGGAGGTTAGGTCGACGAGAGTTGGAGTTTGACCGGTAAACTAAACTCTAAATCAAAAAAATGTGGGGGTTGCCTAAGGTGAACAATGGTAGCTGTCGGAAGTAAACGGTGGTGGTGCCGGTGATGAACGGTGCTAGTGAGGACCAACCACGAAAGAAATTGAAACCATATGGGCCATTCATGTAATTTATATTAACTGGTTAACAAGGATCTGTCAAAAACTAACGAAAGTGACTTAATAGATAGGTAAGTTGTGAGTTTAATGACCTATGCGCAAAAAATAAAAATAATAATAATAAATAAAAATAAAAAATTAGTGATCAATAAATGGCAATAATTAATTGTGTCAAAGTGACATTTCCCCCAAAAAAAATTACTTCAACACAACGATATTCAATGTTGTCTTTTCTTTTTTACTTCTAAATCCAATATTATCTTAAACATAGATGGAACTAAAAATAATTTTAACGTATAATATATTTGTCGTTTAAAAGAAAACCTAAAAAGTTAGAGGTTTTTTTATAATGGATGATTGAGTATTAAATATTACTTATTTTCTTATTAAACTAGTAAAAAGTATATTATAGGTTATATAACTGAATTAGAAACTTCTAAATGATAATTATGTCAAAGTTTCTAAGCTTAGCCTTATTGGTAGATTTTCTCTCTCTCTCTCTCTCTCTCTCTCTCTCTCTCTCTCTCTCTCTCTCTCTCTCTCTCTCTCTCTCTCTCTCTCTCTCTCCGAAACAGATGCCAATAATGCATTTGTGAATGGAGATCTTCATGAGGAGGTCTACATGACTCCTCCCTAAGTATTTCTCACCAACAGGGTAAAGTTTGTAGGCTTCAAAAAGCCATATACGCTCTCAAACAAACCCTTTGTGCTAGGTTTGATAAATTTATTATAATGATTACTTATCTTGGTTTCACTCATAGTAATCATGATTTAAATTTATTTATTATATGCATAAGTATCGATCGAATTCTCATATATTTGTATGTAAATGACATGATTATTATTGGTGATGACTATGATGATATTGAGACTTTGAAAAGTGAACTAGCTCATCTAGTTATATTCGTAACATATTAAAATCAATGGTATCATGCCTGATAGATTCGTGGAATTCGCAATACTTGTCGTGTTCTCTACTTCATGACTTGTCTCTTACTCTTTCTCGATTATTCTTTTTGTTTTCCACTACTATTTTCATATCATTTCTTCATCCATTTCTTGCTAGCGGATAATTGCGACCATGATGTATGAAACGAGTCATTCGTTGTGTTCTCGTATTGTTATATCTTTAGTTTTCTTGAAAGGAAACATTCACATAAGGTGTACGACTGTCTTTTTTAACGTAGACTCTTTCTCCTTGATCGATCTTTATTTTCTCGAATGTTGCTTCTTCTTGCTTTATATATCGATGAACTCTCTCCGTCATGTCATTCCTTGAAGGTGGTTTGCCAACCAGTTTTTTTGAAGAGAACTCACAGACGTTATCTGAAAATGTAAAAGCAATGTCACTATGTTATCTGCCATTTTTGGAGCATTAAGGGTTGCTTTGTTGAACCGGTACACATAGTGACTCATCCTCGCTTGATCTGCATCCCAAGATTGCTTGAGCGTTTGTCGTGTACCTCTTTTATTGTTCGAAGTGACCGGAAAACTCCTCTCGCGGATGATTGAAATCATGTATGCTTTCGACTGGTAACCTTTTGTACTATAGTCATGTTGGCCCTGATAAGGTGGTTGGAAAAAAGATACACCGGTATTTCTCGTCTAAATAATAAGCATCCATCGTCCATTGGTAGTTTTCAATATGATCATCTAGGTCGCCCGACTTGTCATACTTTGAGATTTCTGATATGTTTGTTTCTACTAGTAGTTGATATTCTCGTATACTTCTGATAAGATGAGAGTTGTCTGACCTCAGGATGCGACAATCTTTGATGTTCTTGTTTGTTTCTCTAAGTGCATTGTTATTCGTCGTTTGTGATATCCAACGGACTTGTGGCACTGTTTGATGTCCTAGGTTGATTTTTGGAACATATGTTTGTTGAGATCGTGGTGGCCAGAACTCCTGGTAGTGTGCATATGGAAACAAATGTGGTAGTGGTATGTACGTTTAGACGTTTTGTTGCATCGTGATTGTTGTTGTTAGGTGTTGTTGTAACATAGGCGGTAAGACTTACACTGTCAACTCGTTGTTTATGGGAGTGGGTTTTGATGGTCTTCCAGACATATTTGGTCTTCCCATGTTGGAGCTGATGGTCGTCTCTATCGTTACAAATGTTTCTTATCTGGACTTCTTCCCTTTGGTTGACGATTTCCCATTCGGCTCCCCCTCAACCTTTACATTTGCCCTAGATGAGGTCGGTATTACCGGTTGTGATGGGGTTATCGTTGGTGGTGCAGCGCTTGTTGTTGTCATTGCAATCAAGATTAATGTTGGAATCAGGTTAATAGGTCGGAAAGGTGAGTCTGACAGTGGACATGAAGCTTGTTGTTTTTTCTTGCATGTTTTAAGGCGGGTGGCGCCAATGTTGCTACATGGCCTTCTGGATGCATGGTAGCTAATCGAGTAAGTCATCTTCTATTGCACAATCTGGAAGCCACGCTGCAAAGATAGACACACACTAGTTTAGAAAGCGATATCGAGGTATGGACCCTGATATTGCTCTCTGATGCCTAAGTCAGATGTCAATTAGGAAGCGTAGTAAAATTGCTTAGAGTGAGAAATATTTGGCTTTAACGATTTTCCTCGAGGTCCTTATATACTTATAGGATGGTTCAGGTTCCCACTTCTTTATCTGGACGGTACGAGTGTCCACAAGTTGCAAGATTTGTACCCTTCAATATAATAATGTTGCCTTTTCCGTGTTTCCTGGGATGTTGCATGAGGATTCGTACGGACGATTTTGTTGTATATTATATTGCTATCCGACTTGCATGGCCGGTTTATTCTTGCTAGGGATTGCCGGCCTGGTGGACTTTGGGCTTTTTACTCGTGTCGAGCTGCTTTTCAGGGACGGAGCTGATTAGATGCAAGAGTGGGCCATGACCCACCCTAGATAACTTGAGCATACATATATATATATTATATATATAAATATAATTTCCTTAGTTAAAACAAATTTTGGGCTAAAATGGCCCACCGTCTACAATTTTTAAGTTTGTTTATTTTATTTTATTTTTCCTTTTTCTCTTTGCGCATTACATTAGGGATACTGTCGGCATCTCAATCAAATAAGGTTTTGTCGTTTTGAAACGTATTGCATCGTCGTTAGTCGTTCCAATTTCTTATTGCAATTAAAACACTTCAAAGTTTAATCTCCATAGCGTCACCAGGTTTGTTGTTTTTCCTATTTTATCTTAATTAACCAGTTTGTTTTATTTATATCTTATATAATTTTTTAATTGAATTAGTTCTGTCCAATTTAACATTAAGGTATGCATTGATTTTATTTTTTATCGTATATTCGTATGTATTGTATAAATTAGGTTGTTAATTGTTGCTATGAAATAGTTATATGAATAATTGTATTATGTGTTATTGTATTACATATAAGTTTGATTTGTATACAAATATAAGATTATGTTTGTAATTGAATTTTTCTGTGATTAGTGAATTTTGTTGAACAATGGGAACAAAGCAAAAAAGATTGGATTCATTTTTCACGCGTAATGTCTTACCAAGAGGCGAAGAGAAAAACACGACATCATCATCATTACCGGTTGGGAACCCTCAAGCACCTCCAGAAGATGGTAACCCTCTACCATCTTCAACGGCTAAGAGCCCTGCACCATTTTCAACGGTTGAGAATCCTACATTTTGTTCTATTGAACATGATCCTGGCCTACGTCTACCTATATGGAAATATGCAGCCAATATGAAGGATGAAATCAGACGAGCATACTTAAGATCGGTGCCACATCAACCTGTGTTGCCTAAATATCCTCCATCCGGTTCAAAAAGTCATCCACGACGTTTTCAATCTAAATGGTATTCCGAATTTCCTTGGCTTGAGCATTCTAAAACTAAAGATAGAGCATATTTTTTTTTGCTATATTTTTCTTGAAGAATCAAATACCCATAATGGCCATGATGCATTTACAACCAATAAAAACT